ACGTTTGAGAATGTACCAAGTCCACTGTTTGATGCTGGGAATCATGACAACTACTATGACAGACGACTTCAGAGTAGGTGCGTTCTACTAAGTCGCCCTGACAACAAGACCAAGTTGCGACAACAATTTCAACCCACTTCTTTGTAAATCAAATTGATGAAAAAATTCAATTCACGATGTAAATAGAGGAAGGTGAGCGGTTACCGCTCCTGAACATTGAAGTGATTCGTTGTTATGGGACGTTAAAAAAGAAATTGTTTATGAACAAGTTCTATGCTGGGACTTCAGGCCCTATCACAATCACAGGCTAAAGATAAGATTAATAAAGAGCATAATCATTCGAAGCCTAATCCTAACGGATGCAGATTTCTGGGACGAGGAGCTGGAAATATTTCTCGGAAATGACTACCCAAATGAAGTGATGTAACGAAACCTACGTTCAGTGAAAAGCCGATGGCAGAACGGGGACTATGAAAGAATGGTAAGGACGATGAAGGATTCACAAAAGAGGATATGCCTACCTATCTGCGAGCTAACTCAACAACTATGGCCAATATTGAGTAAATTGAATATTCAGGTGGCCATGAAAGAGAAATTAACCCTTCACAAGTCTACCGATGCAACATGAATAGGTAAGAAAATTGGATTGTTCCAGAGCTTACTGTATATTATGCGGCGGCTGCGAACAGAAATATATTGGCGAAACAGGTCGAAAAAGTAGCACACGAATCAAGGAACATCAGAAGCTCTGCTTGAAAATGGATACCGAAAGATCCGATCTAGCGGAACACATCGCACAGACTGGACACGAGATCAATTGGAAGGCAACAGAAAGAAGGGGTCCATACGGTGACAACACAAGGAAGCGCAAGATTAGGGAATCCATTGACATGCTTGGGGAGAAAAATTCAGCGAACATGAGATTGGAGAAAGGTAGAGTTAGCGATCTTGTGGCCCACTGTTTGAACGAACTCGGGGAAAACTAGAATAGAGCAAGACCAGCAAGAAGGAGACGACCGGATCAAGGATCTACGGCTAACCGGAGGAAAAGGGATCGCGATGAAGAAAGTGGGGGGCATGGGTTTTCGACAATAAAACGAAGACGCTGTCAGTGAGTGATGCCCATTTCGAATAAACCAGTACAACTTTGGGCGCCTGGCAGTCAGGGCGCTGGGCAGGCGGATAAGCAAAGCGTCACGGAAATTCGGCGTTATGGCCAAAATGTATCAGAAATCCACTTGAGATGCCGCATGTGACCAGAGATAGGCGTCCATACTTTGCTCAGATAACATGGGTTTAATCAAGGAGTGTAATGTAAACAAGTCAGAAGGTGTGATAGTGCGGCAGTGTGATGAGAGGGCAAAGAGTACATAGATAGGCCAGTACAGAAAGAGGAGTGATAGTGTAACCGTTTTCGGCAGAACGTTTGTCGAGGGATTGGATTCACTTGTCTCTTTGACGAGTTCGTAGTTTGGTTCGGAGAATGGCAAACTACGATGCCGGCGAAACATTTTGAGAATGTATCAAGTCCACTGTCAGAGGCTGGGAATCATGACAACTACTATGGTAGACGACTTCGGACTAGGTGCGTTCTACTACGTCGCCCTGGCAACAAGATCAAGTTGCGACAGCGAGGTCAACCCACTTCAATAAATTCTTAAGCCTCGGAATGGCTTAAGTGTCACCAGCAAAGTTGAATTAATGTGGTAATTCACTAAATCAACATACAAGCAAGCCTAAATATGCGAATTGTGGAGCAGTTGTCTGGACGTGAAATGACAATACGGCTTCGAAGTTGGCTCATTTACTTCCGGGCCTAAACCTGGGTTTCTGATTAAGTATCAGACCACCACCAAAGATGTGAAAAACGTCCGTTTCACACGAAATTTTGACCCTTAATCATGAGGCCACAGACTGTGAAGAGCCATGATATCCGCTTCGCTAGCCACATTGGAGATGGCCTGATGGGGACTCCAGCATTCGGGGCAACCATGTGCAGAATCTCGTGGATGAAGCTGAATTAAAAAAAAGATCTGCGTTCTAGAGAATCTCTGATGTTTTTCGGCGAAATGTTTTCCTTTCTCACGTCATCACAGACGGTGTGACAAACGAAAACTCAGCGCGAATTGATCTGGCAACGCGGACTTCTTCCCTCAAGACAACAAACAAAACCGATGCGACCACACGACTATTAATCTTCTCCAACTTTCCCTTCTGACAGAAAGCTACCATAACACGAATTGTAAAACGCATGCCTCGTCGTCCGATCAGAATGAGATTCTGCAAAGACATGACGAGATGAACATTCTCCCAACTTCTCCAAAGCCCTAGAATTTGGTAGCATATCGTAGGATGCTGCACGTCTCAGTTTAAGGTGTCGGTTTGTCGTGGTTTGCGATTGCATTGCATACACCCCCACACGGCAAAGATGCAAACTGTTGCCATGTCTTCAACAAGCAGTTACGATTCTGTCAAGTCAAGTCAGATATTCGCAGTTTTGACAGGATCCTTTGTCCAGCCTCCTGCTAACTACACATATCAACCGCGGCTGCTAGTTAGGAAACGAATTCCTGCCAGTCAGACTAAAAACTCAGTTTGGTTTGCAAATAAGATAATGCCTCAAGCAACAAATGGGTGAAAGTGACTTATGCGTCGCACACGGACATTGCCAATTGTATCGTGGGCTGAAGGCTGACTCGTGAAGTTGCAGTTCTCGCAGGAATAGCCAAACCGTGACCAAATTGGATACTTCATCTGGGCAACCTTGACAGTGGCGGCAGAAACGGACAACACAAGGAAAGGATTGTCCGTGCTGCCTCTATTGGCCGGACGAGGGATCGAGATGAAGAGAAGGTGGTGGAGGTGTTGGCGGTTGTCAGGCGACAGTTTTGCTTTCCCTTGCGCACAGTGAGGTCCACAGGCATGACAGCGAGGCCTAGAAGCCTGACTTATCCAGAGACGAAATGGCAATGTCATTAATCCTGAAACCTTACTTGTCCCATCAGCCGGCCCTGTCCTGCCTCTGGCAAGAAGAGGCTCAACTTTCTCCCATGACTTAACAACGAGGTCGAGTGTAGCTCATTTCAAAGGATACCATTCGTTCTTCTGCTCGAAAGAAGGCCGAAACCTGGCAACGGTCTTGGCGAGCGTTGACAACCGACCTTTATCTGTCTTGAACTGGGGCCGAGAGAGAATTTGTTGCGTTGTGAACTGTTTGCCTTGCCCAGAGGGAGCATCAGAATGTCATTTATGCTAGAATGTTGACAACAACTTCCTTGTGTATGCCCTGGTATTTGTCGAATTGATTTCTAAATCTGTAGGAGCCATGACATCTGTTGCATCCTTTTGCAAAACTGTCCATGAAGATGCGCCCCCCCCCCGGGAGAGATGATATGCATCTTTGGGGGAGGGATGTTAGGATGACTTGATATACGTGCATGTGACAACTTGCAAATCTTATTCGTAGGTGTGAAAATGAAGAAGACGTGGACTCCATTTCAGTTGCAGTCTCCTTTCGCTGGAAAGAAGTGGTTTGACATCATTGTCGCAATATATCGAATAGGTAAATATCCCGTGACCGAAGTAGAAGGGACATCACAATCGTTCAGA